CTTGCTGATCCTGGAGGATTGCCCAGGATCAAGTGAGCATGCTTTTCAAATGCAAACCAACCAGTCTGAAGCCCAAACCCCACAACATCCTTTACTGGTCTTTCATACGTCAAGCCACTACTCATCTGTCCTAATCACCCTAGGGTCAAGTGCCAGACAGCTAGAGACAGACTCTATACACGACAGCTTGTTGAAAGTACTTAAACTAACCAATCCTAAGCCTGCTCATTCTGCCTTTCCTATTCCTTCTCATGGAAACCACAAGAAAGGCACTTGCCCACAGTTTTCTCTCTCTCCCTTGGCCTCCTCACCCACCCCAGGGCTTCCCATTGTGCATATACCACACCCCCATCCCATTGTGGGGCATGCCCCCACTCCTTCTTGGAATGTGGGAGTATAACAAATTATTTTTTTCAATGGCAGACATCCCCTTGCTCATACCTAAAGAATAATGAAACCAATATTAAACCACTCAGAGTTCAGGAGAGCTCGAGTCTGTTCCAGGGCCTGATTTAGGATGAAATCAGCCAAACGGTAGGTAGGGAGGAACTTTGAATATGAAGTACCCACAGGAAAGTTGTTTCTGTTCTAACAAAACTGAAATATGTTGTGTTTTGTCAGAGGGTTTTCCTTCTATAAAATAAGGAGTTTTTAAACGGAAAGATGTTCTGACTCACATACGTCATTGTCTTAGTCCATTCCAGCTCTATAACTAAATACCATAGACTGAGTGGCTTACAAGCAACAGACATTTGTTTTTCACAATTCTGGAGGCTACAAGTCCAAGATCAGGTTCTGGTGAAGACAGGGAGCCTGCCAACTTCTCCTGGGGTCCTTAGGAGGTAGAAGAGGCTAAGGGGCTCCCTGGGGCCTCCTTTATAAGAAAGCTAATTCCATTCATGAGGGCTCCACCCTGATGACCTGACCATCTTCCAAAGTCCCCACCTAATAATATCATCACCCTTGGTATTAGGTTTTCAACATATGAATTGAGGGGAGAGAGCACCAACATTCAGACCATAGCAATCATCAATCTGGAGATCATCTCTTTGATTTCTAAAATGTAGCAAAAAGCTGCTCAGTCTGTTTGTAAACACTTTCTCAGCTATCTTTAAAATAAAATCACTTTTTGGGGCACCTGGGTGGCTTAGTTAGTTAAGCATCTGACTTGATTTCAGCTCAGGTCATGATCTCACAGTTCATGAGTTCAAGCTTGGTATCAGGCTCCAGGCTAACAGCACAGAGCCTGCTTGAGATTCTCTCTTTCCTTCTCTCTCTTTCTGCCCCTCCCCTGCTCATGCTCTCTCCTTTTCTCTCAAAATAAATAAATAAAACTTAAAAAATTAAAATTAAATTCAAAAATACCTTTTGGCTGGGAAATAAAAAATGCATCCCTTTTGTTCGGTCTGGCAAAACTTTATAGAGAGATAGTTAAAGATGCACATGAACACTGCAGTGGAGTCTGGTAAGCTGAGAGGAAAAGGCAGCATTCTTCATAACTTGTGGAGAGTAGGTTCAATATGGAAACAGACAAAAGCAAGGAGGTTTAAATTAAATGTCTGGGTTGATTTGTTTTTTATTCCACTGCCAATAATCCTAATTAATTGCACTGCTTTGGGGAGATAAAAAATTTCCGGCATTAAACGATCTTACTTCTGTTAAGATAACTTCTTTATATACTTTTACAAGATCATCTGAAATCAACTAATTGGAAACAGATGTTTAACTACTACAGAATTGGATTTAAACTGGTTTTTCACTTCTAGGATGGGCTTTTATAATTGTCTCAAACTCTATTAAGAATATATTTCTGAAGTCTTGCATTAATACTTTTGTGTGCATATATTGAGCTTTGAAAAATCATGTAGATTTGAATTAGTCTAAATTCCTCTGTTTACTCTTACCTTTGTTTCCTACATCTTTTCTTACAAAGAAGCAAAAATTCCTGAAACCATACAGTCAGGAGCTGAAAAATCTAATCAAATCATGGTAGTTTCACCAAATATAAATGACTATATTTTCATGGTAGTTTCTCAATGTTTACTTATAATAAATTTATTTAGACTCATTTTTCCCAAAAAAGTCATGTCTTAAGTAGGTAGATCTGCCTACTATGTTCAAAACAGATTACACCAGAGAGGTGTTAGCAGTGCCCAACAAAGGAGTAGTAAACAGACGAAAAAGAAACAAGAAAAGTCGCCAACATAGACTAAGTGAAAAAATCAAAATACAGAACAATGTGTATAAAGTAGGCTATCTTTGCTGTAGTGTAATGAAAATTGAACAAACTGTTTCTAAAATGTACCTGAAAATGTAAATAGAAGAACCAGGAATAGCCAAGGCAATCTTGAAAATGAAAGACAAAGCGAAAAGAATATACAATATCATGACCTATTATAGTAGAGCTTAAACAACTAAGTTTAATTAAGCACAGTATAGACAAATAAGGTCCAATATAGACATACACATACATAACCACGTGCTTTGGTGTTCATGCTGGAAAAAAAATAAATAGCAAGCCTTTCTCTCACTAGGTTGAAAAAAATGAGTTTTTGAAGGAAACGTAAGATAATACCTTCACGTCTCTAAGGTAAAAAATACTTCTAAGAGAACAGAGAAAGCACCAGCTGTAAAGGTAAGCAAATTGATAAACCGAGCTTTATTAGAATTAACAACGTCCGTTCCTCAAAAGTCACCATTCGGGGAACGAAAAGGCAAGCCCACAGAATGCAAGAAGATATACACAGTAAATACATCCAACAAAAGACTTGAATACCAAAAATATAAAGAATTCATTCAAATCAACAAGGAAAAAAACCCAACAATACAACTGAAAACAGGTAAAGAACTGAACAGGTACTTCACAAAACAAGTTAAGCAAACAGCCAATAAACATAGGAAGCACTGCTCATCAGTTCATTTGGTCATCAAGGAAATGCAAAGTAAAATGCTGAAGTGATTCACCACTACAAAGGTACCAGAATTGGTATAATTGAAAAGACATTAAATACCAAATGTCATGAGGATGTTGAGAAAATAAAATTCTCCTACTCTATTGGTAGGAGTATCCATTTGAAAATTTGTTTGGCTTTCCTAAGATTTAGCAAGCCCACTCCTAAATACATACTCAATAGAAATGTTTACATTTGTTCATCAAATTACATGTATAAGAATATTAATAAAAGCACTATTTGTAATAGCCTTAAACCAATGCCATCAATTATTGAATAAATAAAAAATTACCACAAATTCCCATAAAAGTACCATAAACCACTAAAGAATGAAGAAACTATTGCTATACACAACAGCATGTATGACTTTCAGATATAATGTTTGGCAAAAGAAACAATAAAAACATATAGTGTATAAATCTATTAACTGAAAGTTTAAAGTCAACAGTGATTGTTGTTAGAATCAACAGTGATTAACCTTAAATTAAAGGCAGGGGCGAGGGATAAGGAAGAGGCCCTGAGGGGGGCCCTCCAGGGTGCTGGTACTGTGTCTTCATCTGTTTCCATGCATGTGTTTGTTGTGCAAAAATCTACTAAACTGTACTATAATTTGTGCACCTTTATGCATGCATTTTATATGTCAATTTAAAAGTTTATCATAAAGAAAAAAAGACATACGAGTCAAATTGAAGGTGCTTCTATTGACCCAAGATGAGTCAATATGAACGTCAGAAAGAATAATGTCAGCAACATATAAAATGCCTCAAACATAAAAATCCAAGAATTTATAATTAGACTAGTGTCTAACTCAAAAAAATCATCTGTACCCTTTGGGGACAGTAAATGCACCAACTCATTATTCTAAACACTGATAAAGAGAAATAATCAAGCCTTACTTGCCTCTCCTCTACGAATTGTATTTCAAGATAATCAAATAGTTGATGAGAGAACATTCTTAGTTGAAGAATTCCAAATAATAAATGCAAAAGGAATAATAGAATTCAAAAATTACCACATCGTACCTGATATATAATAAGAAGCACACAGCACCACCTAAATGAACCCAAAGCTAATCAGATTTCTGGCTTAAAATGCCACTTCATAGAAAATATAATAAAAGAGCACATTAAATAGATCCTAAGGATGTAATGAGTCATATTCAGAATATGGAAAATGTACAGGAAAATTTCGATTTCTTCCAAAAACAAATACCATCAGAGAAAAGGTAAGCAGGGGTGCTGTTACAGATTGAAACTTAAGGGATATTGTAATCAAATCAATTTCTGAACTCATTTGAATCTTAATTCAAATAAGCTACCTTTTAAAGGATGTTTTTAGATAATACTAAAAATTTTAGGTGCCTGAGCGGCTCAGTGGGTTAAGCGTCTGACTTTGGCTCATGTCATGACCTCACGGTTCGTGGGTTCGGGCCATGGATCGTGCTCTGTGCTTTCAGCTAGCTCAGAGCCTGGAGCCCGTTTTGGATTCTGAGGCTCCCTCTCTCTGACCCTCCCCTGCTCATGCCATCTCTCTCTCTCTCTCTCTCAGAAATAAACAAAAATTTTAAATGGACTAGATATTAGATATTATTTTTAAAGTGAATTTACTTATTTTGATAGATACAGAGAGAACATGAGTAGGAGAGGGGCAGAGAGAGAGGGACATGAGTAGGAGAGGGGCAGAGAGAGAGGGAGAGAGAGAATCGCAAGCAGGTTCTTCACTCTCAGCTCAGGGCCTGACATGGGACTCGAACTCACAAAACTGTAAGATCATGACCTGAGCCAAAATCAAGAGTTGGACACTTAACCAACTGAGCCATCTAGGCACCCCAAGATGTTAGATGTTATTAAAGGATTCTTGTTAATTTACTGTAGTCATGTTTTTACTACTTATGGATGAAATGATATATAATAAGGTCTGATATTCACAAAGGAGCGTGGTAGTGATTTATGAAACAAGATTGGCTAATTGATAATCATTGGTACTCTCTGATATGTACACAGTGGTTCGCTTTTCAGTATGCTTGAAATTTCATACATGAACACTTACCCCATCCTTAGCTTTCACCAAGAGGTCATAGGTGGCTGGATCCCTTTCCCTGTCGATCTCTTGAGAAACACAGATTCGCCCATCTTGTGGGTCGATCTGGAACGCCTGAGATGTGTCATAGCTTTGGAATCCGTCATAAAGAGAATACTGAACAAAGCCATAGAGTCCTGCATCTGCATCAGAAGCTTTAACCTACAAGACAAGAGGTTGATCAGTAAGAAAATGGAAAAGTTAACATTACCTTGCAGTCAGTCATGAATTACTATCATTTGCACAGCCAAGTAACTCCCACAGCCATTAACAAAGTATAGGCTTCAGTTTTAACTCTCTCCTTTTACTTTCTGTGAGAGCTCACCTCACCCTCCTCCTCGTCTGAGTTCTCCTTCTCAGTTTCCTTGGCCAATTCCTATACTTTTATATCATCTCTGAAAGTTTGACTTTCTTGGTCCTTTGTCTTTTTATTCCTCTCCCAATGCCTACATGATCCCATCCAACTTCAAGGGTTTAAAAACATCCACATGCTAACAGTTTGACAACATATCTATGGAGTCCCTTTCATATCAAGCTCTTCAAGTGATGGGCTCAACGCCCCACCCATACCCTTCAGAGCAACAAGGAAGGGCAGAGAAATTAAGGCAGTAAATGGCAGAATTACTAGTAACCCAATCCAGCTAACAGAATTCACCTTGGAGTAGGAGATTTAAGTTTCCAAGCCAGGTTTCCTTCTAGGAACAATGTCCCCATCAAGACCCTGCACACTCATGCACACTGACTCCTACCCAGAGGCACATTGCCCAGTGGGCACATGGAAATGAAATCCAGCCCATGTCCAGCTTGCCAAAACAATGACATGGAGCTGCACCTACCCAGAGATAATACCATAAATACCATTTATATTAGCAGTGCTTTTGTGCCCGTTAGAAAAGATGAAGTAACAAATTATGAAAGCACTTAATTTATTTATATTAACTGTGAGAATACACAGTGATAAATACAACAGGCTATATTTAACTCAAAACATTTTAGGCTCATAGCCTTGGTATAGTTCTTTTGATTTGTTAACTCTACTAACAGTAACAACAAACATCTACGGAACTCTTAAAGAAAGCACTTTAAGGGAAGATTAATCAAAGAAAAATAAAGAAAAAAGGGGAAAAAACTATAATGCTATATATAACAGGTACTATTCTAACTGCTTAACATAGATTTACACTTATAACCTGTAAGTGTAACAACCTATAACAAACTCCATTTTATGGACCAGAAAAATCAGGCTCAGAGAGCATAAGTAACTTGCCAAAGATCACATAGCTAAAAACTGTCAAAACTGGGACTCAAATCCAGGTGGTTGGGCAGCAGTTAATTCTAGGTTGAAAAATAAAGTGATATGCATTTTATCAGTAGAATACACAGGAATTCTACCTTAATTATTATTCTTCCCAAACTAAACCTCATACCAATAACACGTTCAACAACCAATGTTCTCAATAAGCCTTCCTTTTCATTCCTCTCTCTCTCGAGTGTATAACTGGGATGTGACTTTGGGGGTTCTTCAAGTAGTCTAGCACAGTGGTTCTCAATCAGGGTCAAGTCTGGCCCCACGAAGACATTTGGCAATGCCTTCACTGGGGAGAGGGTGCTATGGCATCTAGTGGGTTGAAGCTAGAGTTATTACTAATCATCCTGCAATACACAGGACAAACCCCACAACAAATAATGTTCCAGCCCAAAATGTCAATGTGCCTAGGCTGAGAACCACTGCATCTGATGAAACTCAATAATGGGCAATATTATTCCCCTCTTTAATTGCCTTTGTTTTCAGTTGATGACAGTCTTGTAAATTTCTTTTCACTCTCATCTATTGCACATTCTCTGGCAATATTATTTATTCTGTGCAACCAGCTAACATGTTTGTGAGTTATTCTTCTCATCAGATGGGCTGAACCAGGAAATCCACAAACTTCCCGACTACAAAGAACTAAATTCCAAGTACATTTGGTCTATTCCATTCTGGCAGCTGTTAGTGATTTAGTAGCCTCAAGTTCCCAAAGACACCAAATATATCTTCTAAAAACATATGGTATTCTCAATAATTTTGGCTTGATTAGAAGATAATACAATAAATGTTAAATTCTAAAACTCATTCTCAGTCTTTAATAGCACATATTAACAAGTAATTTGGCTTATATAAAGCAAGCTTCCTTATTTCCACTTTTAGACCTTTCTCTCATCTGGACTTTTGGCAAGGCAAAATAGGAAAGTCAAAAGTGAGATAAGAGTGCTGATCTCAGTTTATGTCAGCAGCTCAGATTCTGAGCTTCAGAATCATAAAAGAAGGATATATTCCTTTCTGGTTTTACTCAACTTCCTAGAAACACTGAATTCTAGCGAATTCTAGAACAACATACACTACCTACTAGTATTTGGCCTTGAATGCCTATAATTAATTAGGCATCTGTATGAGGTCTATATTTTCCAATATCCACTGTCTTACACATAAATGTAGGCAATGTAAATAATAGAAAATGGGAAGAGCTTTACCAAATCTTCAAGAGGAAATCTGATTAGTAAATAAGCTCACTGGGCCTTTTCTTCAGAGAGAGCCACTTAAATCAGAGAGAAGCATCTGTCAGAGTCTATTATCACTATCTTATCAGGCTAATTTTGGGATCTGAGGGGAGATCTCAGGAGGATTTTTTTCCCTGAAGCTACTCAAAGAGCCACATTCCAGCACTCTCAGTGCCATCCTTGTCTTCAATTGACCTGTTTTAGATTGAGATCAGTCTGGTGAATTTTACTCTAAACTTACAAGAGTCATTCTCCCTTAGTCTGATTGCTCACAAATGTAATGCAGACATTTAAAAAATGCAAAATATTAATATGATATTAAGATTTCCTTGATTCCCTTATTAGCTTTCTGAAATTAAACTTTTTTTTTTTTTACCACTTCCCTTATATTAACATCTGGAGAGACAAATTGAGAACACTGGCTCTTGAATACATGTTTTCTGGATGTTCTATAAATGGAATGGATCTATTTGCACTTGACTCACCAGTACAGGCCCCTTGATCTGGGAGGGTCTGTTTTCCAACAACTAGGAAGTTTTGTTGGAGGTTACCTGCCCGGCCATTCACAGTGCTATCCCCAAACCCAAGAGACAGCCTAAAGTTATAGGGCAACACATTGTCAGCAACACTGTCCTTTCCCTACTCCTGGGAAAGCTTATCACAGAATTCAGTGACATTCATAGAAAAGCCTCAAAGCCCAATCAAAAACACGAGCAATCAAACCAAAAAATCCTAGAAAAAAATTGGTTGCAAAAAATGGCTTGTTTAAATGAAACTTCAAATGAAATAATCCATTTTAATTTTTTTCTTATTGTAATTTCCAAAATTTCTACCATGAACATATAACTGTTTGAAGAAACCAAGTTATTGACACAATATGCTCACAAACATAACTTCAAATAGAAAGAAGAAAAAGAAATTACAAATTTAAATTTTCAGTGCTTGGCCAACCACGGATCCCTCAGGGAAAACAGGATTACAATATTCCAGTGGAAGTTGGATTCAGCACCGGGGACCACAACAGACACAAGCATGCCACTCTCTGGACACAATCTGGGGAAGTTCACCAATTACTGTGTCTTACCAAGTCTAATCAAGGCTCGATCCTTATTTTCTACATAATTCAGCAGCTTTCCATACAGCAACTGTCTCCGCATTGCAACACTTCCTCATTAACACCATCATGACCTTCCTTCTCCTTCTATACCTCACTGACCTCCTTTCAGTTTCTTTCACTGGCTCTGAATTCTCTTCCTGGCCTCTGAACACCCTAGTGTCCCACAGCTTAGTCCTGAGACCGTTTCTCTTTTCTATCCACATCCGTTGCCTGTGGTTGGTGAATGGTGGCCTCCAAAAGACAAGTCCATGCCCTAATCCCTGGAACCTGTGGATATCGTCTTATATGATAAAAGAGTGAATATTGCCTTATACTGCAAAACGTGGCTAGGTCAAGGATTTTGAGAGCAGCATGTTGTGGATTATCCAGATGAGCCCTTAATCCAAAGACAAGTGCCCTTAGAAGAGAGAGGCACTTGATGGTTCTTTGTTACAGAAGCCCTACGAAATGAATACACTCCTGAGTGATCTGAACCAGGCCCAATACACTAAACCAACATATGTTCTCTTATTAATGGTATCTTCATCTCGTTCTCCAGATTCATGCATTCTCCTACTACCAATTAGATATCACCTTTCATGTGACTAACAGACACTTCGAATGTGGTACGTCCAAACAGAACTCCTGATACCTACCACCCGAATCTGCTCTTCTCCCAATGTTTTTCCTCATGGCATGATCATCCACTTTTTGTAAAGGCAGCCAGAGAGATACAACTCAAATGGCTTGATCAAATCATGTCACTCTCCTGCTTCAGAATTTTCCAACAGCTTCTCATGACCACCTCAGTAAAATCATACCCTTTAAATTGACCCTAGCTACTTCTCTGTCCTTATTTTCCACTATTCTCTGACTCACTCTCTCCCTTCTGGATATGCTGAGCTCTCTGAAGGTCCCAGAGCCCAATAGCTTGTATGACTTGCCTCCTCATTCCTTTCAAATCTCTGCAAAGACCACCTAATCACAGAGGCCTTTCTTGATCACACTACCAAAGAGTGGCACATTCATTTCTGCCATACTCTTTCCTTTTACCCTGCTTTGCTCATCTTCAGAGCCCTTATCTCTATTTTGCATTGCACTATATATTTTTACTTGTTTATTAACTTTCTCTCTGACTGGAATGTACTCTCCAGAGCAAGTAATACACTTATCTTACCCCTGCTATACCTCCAGCATCCACAACGCTAATGCCTGGCTCACAGTGAGGATGTGTCAGTATTTGTTGCATGAATGAACAAATCCAATATTGTCCATAAAATGCAAGCATTTGTTAGAAATCGCTTTCATGGTTATCCCCTATTTTGAGCTTGGGAAAAAAATTCATGAGAACAACAACAAGAATGAAAAGATGCTCAACATCATTCATCAACAGAGAAATACAAATCACAACCATAGTGAGATATCACCTCACACCTGTCAGAATGGCTCAAATCAAAAACACAAGAAATAACTGTTGGTGAGGACATGGAGAAAAAAGGAACACTTTTGCACTGCTGGTAGGAATGCA